ATTCTATGGAACATCTTCCAGTACATCTTATGTATTTGTGCAATATTGGTTATGCTTATGTATATTGTTGTGAATATAGCGGAGTGTTGCCCAATTTCTTGTTGATTGAATATAGCGGCGTGTTACCCAAATTTGGTTATATATTGTTCTCTTTGCAGGTTTTAGAATCTAGGATAAACCTCCCTCAAATAGAGGGGAGGCTGTCAATTTTTTTTTTCAGGTGTTACAGGTTTCTGGCGGCCTACCGGCGATGCGATACCGGATGGCTTTTCAACAGCCGCTGGTAAATTCGTTAAACCGCCGGTACAATGCCGACGGTTACCCAACGGCCACCGGCGGGTGTTCGTTGAAAGCCCGGCGGTACCGCCGGTGTATTACCGACGGTTAACCGACGCAACCCGGCGGTTAAGCATCCCCACGCCGGCCGCTGAAACCGTCGGTACGCCGTCGTTGCAGGACGACCGGTAAGCCGCGGTATTGTGACCGCCGGTACATCGGTCGGCTCTCATTAGAAATAATTTGAATTGATCATTCAAAATTAGATCCAATCAATATGGAAGCCTTAAATCAAGGAGCTAAATTTGGAAAGCATTCAAGGCCTCATGAAAGCAATTGGAATTTCAATTTTTGAAATTCAAAGGAGGTGGAAGGGGGAAGCCGGCGGCCAAGGCAAGGGGCTGGGCTAGGAATGAGGTAGGGAGGCTGGCGGCCAAGGCTGTTAGGGGGCCGGCGGTCTGACCAGTCCAGTATGGACGGCGGCAAGAAAAAAAATTGGGGAGGAAGAGGGTTTGAATGTAGGGTTAATGGCATGGGGGAGGGATCGGGTGGCTGACCGGCCAAGTGGAGGGGTGGTGGGGAAAGATCTGGCGGCTAGGGGAGAGGGAAGAAAAGAAATTAGGTAGAAAACCAAGAGCTTCACCAAGGGGAGTGAGAAGGCTTAAATAGCCAAATACATGAATGAAAATAAAAAGACACAATTGCCCCTAGGCAAACATAAGACAACCCTCAAGTGAGGGTAGAAAGGGAAAAGTACAATAACAAATCAAATACATAAAATATATCAAAATAAATAGACACGATCGTAGCCGTTGATCTTCGATGTCCTCATCAGTTTTCCAGATTACTTTTGAGCAGTAATGAAATAAGAACTTGCAGTTGCAACCTTCAAAAGCTGCAAGAATCAATTCCCTGGGAGTTTTCTATCAATCTAGTGGCATAACAACTTGGTTAGTGGCAATATTTTCCTTTGTTGTCATAATTTTTTTTATTATCTCAAACCCAATCACCCTTGATCAGAGGGTATTGAGGAGAGGATATCGCTGTTAACAACATCAACAAGTATGTTTTGAGCACCTAGTTTGTGCTTCAAGTTTTATTGGGAGAATGGATGGAATTCTGCTCACTTGGATGCTTATTTTTTTGTGCTTTCTACTTGTAAAGGTACTTGAGGGCTTTATGATTTGCAATAATATTTATTTGTAGCACATTTCTAATATTTATTTACTGACAGTAGTTTCTAAATCAATTCCCTTGGAGTTAACTGTCACTTTATTAGAGATATTATTCTATCAAAGAAAATCGTCATTTCTTACGTTGCTAGTGAAGAATATTCGACTAAAATTTTTACCGAGTTCTTAGACCTTTTAGTTTTTCAAACCAATATAACAAATTTCATTTAGCTTACTTATCTCTAGCATATCATGCATTTTCAACATTTGCCTAGGCTTTAATCTTTAGATGTTTATTTCTTTAACAAATTAGTCATTTTTTCAAGAGATTTATTAACTTATTTCATAGCATTCAAAATAGTCTTCCATTGTTTTTAATTCAAATTTTGCTTTTGCTGAATGACAAAATAGGATAGATTAGATATATTGATGATCAAGTAGATAAGCTTACAAATCAGACACCGATAGTGAGAAGCATCTTCAAAATTTCTTCATTCTCACATGCATGCAGAGTATCTATGAGAGAGTTAGCATGCTTGCATCCAAGAAGATTTGTTTCTTCAAGAACTATTATAGCATATGTACTTTGAGGGAATGAGATATGTCTTTTTTACTATGTACAAACTCAATGCCAAGAAAGTACATTGGGCACCTCAATTTTTTTGGTTACAAACATTTGAAGCTATTGCTTTATTTTAAAATTGTCTGAAGTTTCACTCCCACTAAGAAGAATATCATTGATATAAATAACACAAATCATCATGCCGGAGGGAGTGCTTAATAAAGATAGAATAATCAATAGTATTGCTTCACAATTTAATATCGGTTAGTACCTTGCAAAGCTTGTTGAATCATACATGAGGATTTTGTTTAAACCTATATATATAAAACTTTTTGAAACTTGCATATTTTGCTCTTCTCACGCCCTTGGGCTAGGTACTTAGGAGCTTTTTTCATATAAATAGCTTCATTAATGTCTCTATAAAAAATATTGATGACAATAAGTTAAGACATTGGCTTTATTTGATTAATGTCAAGAAAAAGAAGAAGAAGTGATGTGAAACAAGGTAGGAGATGACAAGAGGGTAAAAAGGAAAATTGCGAAACTAAATTAAAATACACTTAATAAATGAAAATAAAACAAAGTGATCTCGGTCGTCGATCTTCAGCTCCTCGGATTGGCATGGACGGTTGGATGTCCGCATCAAGAAGAATGTTATTAAGTGGAGTAATAAGGGAGGAGCTCTTGAAGTAGTCAATGTTAGGTGTGTAAGTGAGTCAAGCCAACGTGTGAGAAGTCTTGAACTTGGCTTGCTAACGAAAGTTGAGCTTATCGAGTCACCAGCTTAAATTTTAGGCTTGTGTGTTATACGAGCTTCAACTTGAGCCAGCTCACGAACTCGGCTAGAAACCCTTAATACAATTATTTTGCCCCCACTTTGGTTAACCTAGTTAGCCGCCAATTTCACTATTAAAAACAGTTGATGCCTTCTTCAACAAACTCCCTCTGTGATTTCCTCCCCAGTAGACATGTCTATTCCTTCTACTGTGAACTCCAGTTGCAACATCTCATTGTCTGGACCCATCGAGCCGTGTTACCTTCTCTAGTGAGCTCCAATTGCAACACGTTCTCCAACAAACTCTAGCTATGACAACTCCCGTGAACTTTCATTATTGTTTCTTATAGCAAGCTCCCATCATTCTTTATCTAGCGAGTTCTCATGCATGCCATTTTGATGTGGGCTCCAATGATTTCATGAGCTCGAGCTTACCGTATGAGCTCAACTTGTGATGGAGCTCGAGTTCAAGCCTACCATTGGGCTGATGGACCAAACTTGAGTTAGCCTGACACAAGCTTGACTCGACTCGTTTCTACTCTTAGTCTATGTTATGAATTTGTGTATATCCTTTTGCATCCAATCGAGGCTCGTAGCATTCAATATAGTCATCATCGTGCAACTTAGTGGTGCATGCCCAATGACATAAAATGGGTTTAACCTTAGGAGTTATAACCTAATCGTAGGAATCAAAGTTAATAAGAGCACTTATTTAAAAAAAAAAGCACCTATTTATACTTTCCATTGCATGCTTCCATTTATGGTTAGTAGAGCCTCCTAGTATGTCTTGGGAATATATATAGTAGACAAAGATAAAGAAAACAGATGAGAAAAGTGTTATATGTTCAAAAGACCTAATGGAGTGCAGTGGATGAACACTATATTGCATTTTACTTTTTGTGGCGCAATGAGTTGTGGATTCAAAGCTTAATTTTAAGCACACGCTCAATCATTTAGAAGAGGTGGAGGGAGATGCTTTAATAGGAGGTCACCGAGTCCTATGAGTATAAACTTGAAAGTAAGCTGGAGCAAAAATTGTGGCTATGAGTGGTAGAGGGTCTGATAGAGGCGTTGGTAGGAGATGAAGTGTGAGATGAATAAAGAAATTCCTCATAAAAGGCAGCATTGACAGAGACATGTAGTAAGCATGTAGATAGATCATAACATCAATAACCTTTTAAAGTACAAGAATAGCTTAAGAAGATACATTGGATGCTTCAATGTGAGTTTTTATCGTGGTCTAGATGAAGAGTATAAGATGAAAGAAGGTTTTCTGGGATAAAAAATTTAGAATGGAGTAGTACTACCCAGAACTATAGAGGTCACTGAATTAATTAAATAATAAGCTCTCTGTGCAACATGGCATCGGGGAGATCCGTTGTTGTGCCAGGCAAAGCTTAAATATCAACATATCCTGTTTTCTGCGTGGTTTATTTGACCCTATCAGTGTTTACTTACAAAAATCTTACACTAAGATTTCGTTTGGGACGACTTTCTTACTGCTTCTTAAAGCAACTTTCAAGTATAAAAATTTAAATTTTTGTACTAAAAAGTTGCTTTAAACAGTAAGAAAGCCGTCCCAAACGAAACCTTAATGAGGATTCAAAATAAATTTGGATGAAAGCCAGTTGAATTTTTGAGCCAGCTCTTAGTAACTTTACCTATTTTCTTAAGGACGGTATTCCCCAGCCATAACTGAAAATGCTTTATTGATCGTGCATATCATGCTGACTGTATTTTTATTTATTTTCTGCCTTGAAGGAACATGAATTCTTGGGTCAAAACTCATAAGTACCGTTTTTTTAACTTTTATTATTTCTCTTTACCCTATCAGTGTTTACTTACAAAAATCTTACACTAAGATTTCGTTTGGGACGACTTTCTTACTGCTTCTTAAAGCAACTTTCAAGTATAAAAATTAAAATTTTTGTACTAAAAAGTTGCTTTAAACAGTAAGAAAGCCGTCCCAAAAGAAACCTTAATGAGGATTCAAAATAAATTTGGATGAAAGCCAGTTGAATTTTTGAGCTAGCTCTTAGTAACTTTACCTATTTTCTTAAGGACGGTATTCCTCAGCCATAACTGAAAATGCTTTATTGATCGTGCATATCATGCTGACTGTATTTTTATTTATTTTCTGCCTTGAAGGAACATGAATTCTTGGGTCAAAACTCATAAGTACCGTTTTTTTAACTTTTATTATTTCTCTTTATAGATACCTTGACGCTGGGAGAGATATGGTTGCAAGCATTCAATATGGAGCAAGATGCCCTTGTGGTTATTGCCATATAGCAGACGTTGAGTCCCATAAACAGGATGACCACATGGAGAGCTTTTTCCTTGCAGAGACGGTTAGTTCTATTTTAATTCAGAGTACGTTCTAAATGCTTAGAGTAGAAAATATCAATTGGCATCTGACATACATAAGGCTGACCAGTGCCAACTTATCCTTCTAGCAATGGTGGAACCTTGAAGGGGGGAGAAAGGTTTTACACTATATTTAGGCGGAATAAAACTTTCATACTTTACATAGTTGTCTGTAACTTTAAAAAAAAAAACTTAAATTGACTGAGAGCTACCCAGCACCTCCCTAGTTCTACCACTGCCTTTTATAAAGTCCTTTCATTAGAGATGTTTTATTTGTCTTTTGCATCTAATATCACTCTTTCTCAGGTCAAGTATCTCTGGCTTCTTTTTGATTTGGCTGCTGGGCCAGATAACATTGTTGAAAATGGGCCATATAAGTAAGAATTGCAAAACTTCTGATTTAGTTCATTTCTGTAGGAATTAACAAGAAATAGGGGACAGCACTTTTTTTTAAAGGAAATTTTTGTTGTAGGTATATATTTAACACAGAAGGCCACTTATTGCCTGCTACTGCTGAAATAGCTTTAGCAAATGAACATTGTTCCTATCTTGGAGCATTTTGTAGAGATGGTGGAGAGAGAGATGCTTTTACTGGAATATCTTCTAGCTACCAAGAAGCAAATGATACAAGAATCACTGATTCTTGGATGTCTTCTTCCTCCCCATCAGAAGCAGAGAACTCCTTCACCACCTCAAGCTTTATTAAGGTAAGCCATTTCTTCCAGTTCTAGCACTATGAAAATTAAAGCTTTAAGAGTTCTACAGGTAATAAAATTACAGTAGTTCATTAACTATGATTATCAGATCCCTCTTATTAGATTTTCAAGCTTGTAAATATGTCCATCTGAGAAAAAACTAAGTTTTTTTTTTTTTCATCTGGTCGATGCAAACTATAATTCCTATTCAGCATCATTGTAAACCTTTGATTGAAAATTACTTGACCAAGTTTATAATAACTTATGTTTCTTATTTTTCTTTAGGGGATATTTGGCCGGCTTTATTAGCGGGTTACTGCATTCCATTTCTCTGTTTTCAAATTTTTTTGTCTTTGACATAAATTGAAGGAAAGAAAAAGTAATATTGAAATTTGAAAATTTTCAAAAATATGTTTCCCTCTATTTGAAAATCTCTCAAATAATGGGATTTTCAAACTTGTGCTGCACCTTTTTGTGATTTCCGCCCATCACTTGTCTCCACCTGTACTGCACTCTATCCACAATTGCCATTGTTCTTACCACTGACGCCATCCAAACTTGGAAAATTTATTTTGTGTGATCATTGGAAGCCGTTCGGAGGTGAATCAGGATCCGCGACATCACTTTTTTGCTGTGTACCGGTGCAGTGTATCGTGTGACGTGGCACATTCTGATTCTCCTCCAGACCGTCTGCCGTCTGGTGACCGCACATAATAATTTCTCGTAAACTTTCCCTCATTTCATATTTCAATGCATTTGACATGTATCATTATAATATATATACATTTAATTTGCATCCAATTCAAACATGTTTTGAAATTTTCACATATTGAAAATATCCAATCAACCAATCCATTAAACATTTTTAAAATCTCAGGGATTCTGCCCAGCATTAACGCATGATCAAAAATTTGGCTTTTCATACACTGCGGACAAACATGGCACTCACAATGTTGAGCCGGCTAACCAACATCAAAGTCATTCTGCAATCATGATTTCTGAGCCCCTAGTGATGCACTCGGCGGCCATAGATAAGAGTTATAGTAGTCAATATCCTGAGAATCCTCATAGAGAAGAGATAGAGAAGAATTCTTCAGATGAGAAGGATTCCCAGCTTGTTAGAGAACAAATTCAAACATGAGTTGCCAAATTCCTCTCTTCAGTGACAAATTTCTGTATTTTTTACCAGTTCAACTCCATTAGAGACCAGATCTGCCAAAAGATGGATGAAATTTTTTCCCAAAACATAGCAAAAAGTCTGAATCATGAGATTTGGAATTGTCGTCTCTGATTCTTGGCTCATAAACAAGTTCCAGATGTGATTGTCGGGTCACTCTTTGTGATGTGATACAGCCCAGAGATCATGGTGAGGATTCTTATTGTCTCAGCTTCCATTGATGCTACAGTAATTTTCTTCTTCATTTTTCCCCACAGTTAAATTGTAACATTAATTAATTTGTACATTTAAGGTCAGCTTGTGACATAAATATAGGCTTCGTTTTGGGACGACTTCTTTGTTACGTTCTAAAATTATTTTCTAGTACAAAAGTTTCTTGAATTAGAAATTTTTGTACTAAAAAAAAGTTTTATAAAGTAGCAAAAAAATTATCCGAAACAGAACCTTAATCTTTCATTGAGAAGTACGGTGAGGTCATTATTTAAATGACTATTGATTTTGGAAAATATTTCCTTTTCAATAAACAAAAAATGTTCAAGTTATCTATGGTTCATTCTATGCTCTATTTTGCTGTATAATGTAATTCTCTTTATCTTTTTCAGTTTAGTTGCATCCCTTGCAGTATTTGCCATTTACAATATGCTTTAATAGATGTAACTGGTCAATCAAGTGTGGGCCAAGAGGTTTCTGGGATGGGTGCCTCTTCTAGGTTAGTCGAGGATTAGTAACGCCGCCAATTACCCTTTCGGGGTGGCAACGGGGATACCCTGTTAAAAAAAAAAAGTTATTTATGTGTAATTCTCTTTATCTTTTTCAGTTTAGTTGCATCCCTTGCAGTGTTTGCCATTTACAATATGCTTTAATAGATGTAACTGTCCAATCAAGTGCGGGCTAAGAGGTTTCTGAGATGAGTGCCTCTTCTAGGATAGCTGATGATTAGTCATGATGCCAAGCGTCCTTTTGAGAGTGACAATGGGTGGATATGCCGTTTAAAAAAAAATTAAAAAAAAATGTTTTATAGGTTCTGAGTAAGCAAATTGTGGAAAACTCAAGGTTTATTTGGGATGGTTGTTTGGGATGGTTGTAATTTTTTGTAAACGTGGTTACAAAGTAGTTGTGGGGAAAGATTTTTTTTTTTTTTTTAAGCTGTAAAAAAAGCTCTCTAGCACAAAAAAAATTTTGAAAGTAGCGAAAAGACAACTGCCAAATAGAGGTTGTGATTATAATTTGAAAATCAAAACAATAAGAAAGTCGTTCCAACTTCTAAATAAAGTTTTACGATTCATTTGTGAGAACTTTCTTATTATTTTTTAAAATAAATTTTTAGCACAAAAGTTTTTTAACAAGAAAATTTTGTTTTAGAATGTTTTGTTAGAAAATAATAAGAAATTTGACTCAAATAAAGCTTTAGTGATTTCAAATGGTGATTTGATGGTGTATCTGATTATTTTTTTTCTTCAATTGTTGCCTTACAGCTATTTTTCTTTTTAATTGTTATGCAATTTTTTTTTTTTTTGGATTTTTACATACCTAACATTTAAAACAAGTCTATTTAACTATTAAACACCTAAAAACACTTATCTCATAAAAAATAACACTCCGTCGCCTCCCCGTCAACTCCAAATAGCTAAAGAGCGCGGGAATCGCACAGTTCGCCATTTCCAACCCGATCGTCTTCTCCAGCAAATGGCGACACAGACATTCCTAATCCCTCTCTCAGTTTGAATCGCACAGCTTGCTAATCCCAATCGTCTTCTCCAACAAACCTAGTAGCTTGCGTCTTCTCTGGCCAGTTTCGACACAGAATTGCGAACTGATAGGAAATTTGATTTTTGGTAATATATCTTCATAATCTCTTCTCATTTTTTATTCTACGACTTTGCTCTCATTTTTTATTCTCCAACTTTGCTCATACAGAATCGCGTACAGAGAAGCCTTATTTACCGATAATTTCTGATCCTGCTCTCAATTTTTAACAAGAAATCAGAAGTAGTAGTTTGTTTATACTGCAGCTACGTTTAAGAACTGCAACTATCAGGTGGTTTCTTATGATCTAAATGAAAATTGAAAAGTCAAATTAAATGATGGGATTATCAGTTGGTTTATATTGATATGCCCTATATCGTTTACAAAATGCAAATCTTACATGATGGTAATAAATCTGAGGAAGCTTGAGAAACACAAAATTTCTCAAGCTTCTTTAAGCTTGATAAATAGTATTTCATCAAACACCTATTGGGCATCTCTAAATTTACAAACACAAAATAGTTAAAGAAGCTTGAGAAGTTTACCCTAAACAACTAATGGAGAAGATCACTATCAACATTAAAAACTTAAATGATTATAAATCTATTAAAAAAACCTGGACTGAAGAAGAATGGACTTGTTTTGGTTACAGGGCATAGGCGGAAAAAACAGTGAAACACCAAAGCTTGAGATTGTTTTGAATAATTTTATTGTTATGCTGCTCTTGATGTCATGAATGGAGAAATCTATTGGGTAACCCATTTTCTTTTCTTGAGGAGAAGAGAAAGAAGATGTTCAATCCAAAGGAGTGATGGGTGGAGAGCCGTTACTGAGAACCGCTAAAAGGAGGAACGTAGGGAGCAGAAGATGAGTGAAGTTGGGATAAGGTCGACGGGGTGGTGGCCGGAAGCGTCGATGGCGTTGGGGTCAGCACCGGCAATGAAGAGGAGGGTGGCGGTGACAACGTCGGGACCGTAATGGAGAAGATAATCTGTTCGGACTGGCATGCAAAATTGTATAACAGCATTAAAGGCCAACTCACTGGAGAAGTCGCCGCGAAACAGCCGTGACTTCGGACGGAAAGTGGCAAACGGCCGGAGCGAAGGGAAGACGACAAGCCGAACGTAGCAAACGTCTTGAAGACGGAGTTGTATACGGAATGTTATAATTGATTTAAAATGACTAATTTATGTGGTATATTAGTAAATGAATTAGTTTAGGTGTTAAATTTGTATTTTAAATAGTTTTAGGTGTTAGGTATGTAAAAGTCCCTTTTTTTTGGCGCGTTTAGGCTAATTAAGAAAGACTTGCATGCATATCTCCGTATCTCGTACCAACAAGTACAAAGCTTTTTTATCTTTTATTTTTTCCTTAAATAGCTGTCATCAAAATTGATTTAAATAACATTTAATAGAAATTTAAAAATGTAATAATTATAGTTAATATCATAATAAATAAAAAAATTATTTCAAATCATAATTAATTGAATGTTCAAGGCCTCGGAGTATCTATTGATTTTTGGAAATTCGTGCAAGGGCCTCTTGTTTTACATCATCCAATTTTCTGGAAAAAAATATTGTGAAATCATATCACCTTAAATATTTTATTAGACTCTCAACAAATTTTTATGTGTTTGAATATCTTATATTTAAAATTTAATATTTATTTATATATAATTTTATAACATTCAAAATAAAAAAGGTGTTTTTTCAATTAAGTACTGTTGTTGAAAAATTCGCGCGATAGAGAGTCATATAGTAGTTTTATACAAAGATTCAACACGCAAACATATAAAATAATATAGTTATAATGTTTATAAAAGACAACATATTTTTTACGTGGAAACCTCTAAAAAGGAGAAAAACCCCGGGGTCTAGCCCAATTTGAATGAATCCACTAGTGCTTGCAATTGATTACAAATGACCCTTCCTTAGGAGGAAGGTCTTGGCTTGAAGTAGCAAATATATATCATATAGATTGCATTATATGGTAGGAGTTGGAAGAATGAGTGTTGATATGTTCATTTGGGCAGTATGACCATAGTCGGCAAGCGATATAGGTCGGAAGGACCGTAGTCGGATGACAGTGGTCGGAAGGACCATAGTCGGGTGGCGAAAGTTAGGAGGACCATTGTTGGGCGATGGTGGTTGGAAGGACCGTAGTCGGTAAGAAACAGTGGTCGGAAGGATTGTAGTTTTCATGCCACGCAGGTCAAGCGGTGGTCGACGGGTTGGCGGACGTTCGGCGGTGGTCGGCGGAATGACATAAGTTCTGTGGTGCTCGATGGACTGGCAGAAGTTCATCGGTGATCGGGAAGAATTCCAACATTGGTCGACAGACAGGCAAAAGTCTGGCGATGGTCGAGAAGAAGTTCGTCAGTAATTGGCAAAAGGGAGGAAGTCTGGAGGTGGTTGGTGAAATGGTGGAAGTCTTGCGGTGATCGACAGATGAGCATAAGTCCGGTGGTGGTTGGCGGACTGGTGGAAGTCCAGCGGTGGTCGGCGGACTTGCGAGAGTCTAGCTGTGGTCGGTCGATAGGAGGGAATCCATCGGTGGTCGGGAAGAACTCCGGCGATGGTCGGCAAACGGGCAGAAGTCTTGCGAAGGTCGGTGTCGGTGGACTGGCAGAAGTCTGGCGGTGGTCAGCGGACTAACGGAAGTCCGGCAGTGGTCGGCGAACTTGCAGAAGTTCAGCAGTGGTGCAGGAAGAACTCCGACGGTAGTCGATGAATGGGCGAAAATCCGTCGGTGGCTTATAAGAACTCCGGCGGTGGTCGACGAAAGGGCGGAAGTTCGTCGGTGGATGGGAAGAACATCGGCGATGCAGAAGGTCCCAAATTCTTCTCTTCTCTTCCTCTTTCTCCTCTCTTCCCCCCTCCCCTCAAGAGAATAATGTGGGCTATTTATAGTTTTTTTAGAGTGGCATGACGTGTAAATATGGAGAAGATCGAGGGCATGTTGAGAGTGGTTTGAATGAATGACCGATATTAATTCCTTGATCGTGAACCATTTAGTGGTCATTTGAATGCCTTAATGATATCGAAATTCAGTGATCTTGGGCTCGTTGGATTCGTTTTGTCAACCGTTCGATTTGACTACAAGCATGTCACATTTGAAAACCGTTTGGTAATTCTAATTATGGTTTGAACATTTCAAATGCGCTTTGGGTCTTTGATTTGGACTCATTTGGGCTCAGACTGAGTCGAATTTGGTGTCGTTAGGTTCGTATTTTTAGGATGTTCAGCTCAACTGTAAGTTTGCTAAAATTAGAATTTAGATGGTCTTTGATTCAATATTTGCTTATGATGCCCTTCTTTGTCAAGTTTTTCCTGCCACCCTAAAGGGTTAAGCTCGTACCTGGTTCTATGCTCTCCCTAGAAATACAATCCATAGTTTTGCTCATCTTACAAAACTCTTTGTCGAATAGTTTGTTGCTAATCGAAGAACTATTAAAGATTCATCACATCTCTTTGGAATCCGTCAGAATGAAGGAGAATCTTTGAAATACTATTTTCAAAGATTTTCTTCGGAAGATCGACAAATCCATGAGTGGATCCTGAGTTACTACGAGGTGTTTTTCTTGGAGGGTTGCGCCTCAGACCTTTTTACTCTTCATTAATGCGAGAAACAGTTCATTCTTATGCTGACTTAATTCACAGAGTAGAAGCTCAAATTATTGCCGATGAGGCTATTAATGCTCATCGAAAATAATTTGAACAGCCTTCTAATAAGAGAAAGAATGGGCACGAAGCTGGAGCTGGAGCCCAAAAGTCTCAGAAGAGGAATCAAGATCTCCAC